AGGTCACTCTGGACCCTATCCCTGCCCTCCAGCGTATCTACCTCTCCCCCTAGCTTAGTGTCATCAGTGAACTTGCTGAGGATGCAATCCATCCCCTCGTCCCGATCCTTCATAAAGATGTTGAACAAAACCAGTCCTAGAACAGATCCTTGGGGCACTCCGCAGAAACCGACCGCCAACCTGATATCGAGCTGTTGATCACTACCCGTTGGGCCCGACAGTCTAGCCAGCTTTCTATCCATCTTACAGTCCATGTATCCAATCCACATTCCCTTAACTTGCTGGCAAGAATATTGTTCTCTTGCTATGTCGAGAACCAATTGGAGTTGATAAAACGTTGGGTCAGTTGTTCTGGTGTGAGAATAGTGTGTGTGTGTGTGTGTATGTGTGTGTGTGTGTGTGTGCGTGCGTGTGTGTAGCCAAGCTTCAGTAAATACTTCGGTCGGCAGCTGGGGTGGTGCCTTGTGCAGAAGATGGGGGATGGGGCTAACCGGGACATGGTTCAGCTCTCTTGCTATGCCCATGTAAAGTCGATACGATGCAGCAAGCAGAAACCTGAAAACATTTCCCTTTCATTGCCCTTCCCTAGAAGGAAAAGTGGCTGACCAAAAGCAGTAAAAATTCAGGCTGGAGATGTCTCGGGAACAGCTTTTCCTGGGTCATTTTCCTGCGGCTGAGCCAGTTGGCCATAAATCCCTCGAGAACGGGCTTTTGGCCTAACACTAGATAGTGGGAAGTCAGGAAAATATATTTCCCGACAGTCCCCCTCTCCGTGTTTGAAGAGTCACTCCCGTAACCCCACGTTCTCTCTGGGGCCGGGGTGATGGGGGCTTTGCGTGTGTTCTGGTTTTCTCTCCACCACTTTGCCCAGCGCTCAGATGTCAACACGGTTTGCAAGTCCCGTTTTCAATTACGCGGGCAGTAAAATAATCCAGTTACGAGGGCAAGGGGATCCGTGCGGGTCTGCGTAACAGGAAGCAGCCCATGAAGATGCCAATAGAATGCAATTAGCACTGTAATGAGCTAATTCAAGCGCAGCAGAGACTGCTCATAACAATATGTCCAGGGGAAATCTCCTGAACCCGTTCCCTGCTGAATCTGCCATCCATAGAGACACCCAATTCCAGCAGTCTTCAGTGTGGTGATGTTTCCAACTCCTTATAGTATGAGAAATGGAAATCCCACACTCTAGTGCTTTTCTGGCCAGGATACAGACCCACAGCAGTTAGTCAAAACGAAGTCCTGCTATTCTGTTACTAATATCCTTGGAGCGAAACCTGTAAGTCACTAGCCGCTGGTTGGTCTCACTGCAGGTGAGAGGGACAGACTGATGGTTAATCGATATGCGTAGAGCTAGTTCAACGTCAGATCTGTCTGCCGGGCTGCAAAATAGCCACTGATCATCTTTGGGACACTTGGAAAAGCAAACGTCGCTGGAAAGCTTGAAACCGGGAGCCATAAGAGCCTGTGGAAACCCACAGGACCTCAGCCGAGTGGGAATTAGCCGGTGAATCTGCAGATCTGACGAGGCAGAGACCGAGGCCTGGTCTCAACCCAAACATTTCCCTGATTTGACTCGTATTTATGCAGATAATTCCACCCCCCTCAACTGAGTTAAACAGTTGTAAGATGGGTTGATGGATTCCACAGTCCTCCTTTGTAAATTCTCACAAGGGGCATTGCTTTCATCTTCAACATCCTGCGTCTTATTTTATTTAACATCCGCTTCCAGCCCCGGGACGGGCTTTGACCTTTCTCTGCGAGGCTCAAGGCCTGTTATTAGTTATTTCCCATGGAAATACTTACAGGCTTACAGCTCGAGGCACCCCGTCCGTTTGAGTCTATCACAAGGTTTGCTCCCCCTTTATTATTCTCGTAGCTCTTCTCCGGTGTATCCGCCTCCTCCTTAAATTGTGGGCACTGAGACTGGGCACCGGATTCCCGCGCCCGTCACCCCAGCGCCAGATCCGGAGGTAGAAGAACCTCTCTGTTCCTACCTGATGTTCCTCTGTTTAAGCAGGGGTCTCAGACTCCCGGCCTGGGGGCCAGCCCCAGTTGGAGCCTTTGCACAATCCAGTCTGGGCTCCTGGCAGATCATTACGGCCCCCAAGCCCCACCCCTTCCTGCTGTCACTGCGTCTTCTCCCTCCCCTGGCACTTCATCGCCTCCAGAATGGTTTTCGGGGATCATCGGGTCACCCCCCCACTCCAAGTGAAGGAAACCAGAGGTGTGGGAAAAGGGCGTGACCACTGCCACCGTATCAGGCCCCCAATGATCCCCAAAGCTGCGTTCTTGGGGGACGGGCTGCCTCAGGAGGGAGAGGGCGGGGCAATGATGGGACGGGAGGAGCTTGGGGGCCAGTAATGGAATGGGGGCCGGTTCTCTTGCTATGTCGAGAACCAATTGGAGTTGATAAAACGTTGGGTCAGTTGTTCTGGTGTGAGAATAGTGTGTGTGTGTGTGTGTATGTGTGTGTGTGTGTGTGTGCGTGCGTGTGTGTAGCCAAGCTTCAGTAAATACTTCGGTCGGCAGCTGGGGTGGTGCCTTGTGCAGAAGGTGGGGGGATGGGGCTAACCGGGACATGGTTCAGCTCTCTTGCTATGCCCATGTAAAGTCGATACGATGCAGCAAGCAGAAACCTGAAAACATTTCCCTTTCATTGCCCTTCCCTAGAAGGAAAAGTGGCTGACCAAAAGCAGTAAAAATTCAGGCTGGAGATGTCTCGGGAACAGCTTTTCCTGGGTCATTTTCCTGCGGCTGAGCCAGTTGGCCATAAATCCCTCGAGAACGGGGTTTTGGCCTAACACTAGATAGTGGGAAGTCAGGAAAATATATTTCCCGACAGTCCCCCTCTCCGCGTTTGAAGAGTCACTCCCGTAACCCCACGTTCTCTCTGGGGCCGGGGTGATGGGGGCTTTGCGTGTGTTCTGGTTTTCTCTCCACCACTTTGCCCAGCGCTCAGATGTCAACACGGTTTGCAAGTCCCGTTTTCAATTACGCGGGCAGTAAAATAATCCAGTTACGAGGGCAAGGGGATCCGTGCGGGTCTGCGTAACAGGAAGCAGCCCATGAAGATGCCAATAGAATGCAATTAGCACTGTAATGAGCTAATTCAAGCGCAGCAGAGACTGCTCATAACAATATGTCCAGGGGAAATCTCCTGAACCCGTTCCCTGCTGAATCTGCCGTCCATAGAGACACCCAATTCCAGCAGTCTTCAGTGTGGTGATGTTTCCAACTCCTTATAGTATGAGAAATGGAAATCCCACACTCTAGTGCTTTTCTGGCCAGGATACAGACCCACAGCAGTTAGTCAAAACGAAGTCCTGCTATTCTGTTACTAATATCCTTGGAGCGAAACCTGTAAGTCACTAGCCGCTGGTTGGTCTCACTGCAGGTGAGAGGGACAGACTGATGGTTAATCGATATGCGTAGAGCTAGTTCAACGTCAGATCTGTCTGCCGGGCTGCAAAATAGCCACTGATCATCTTTGGGACACTTGGAAAAGCAAACGTCGCTGGAAAGCTTGAAACCGGGAGCCATAAGAGCCTGTGGAAACCCACAGGACCTCAGCCGAGTGGGAATTAGCCGGTGAATCTGCAGATCTGACGAGGCAGAGACCGAGGCCTGGTCTCAACCCAAACATTTCCCTGATTTGACTCGTATTTATGCAGATAATTCCACCCCCCTCAACTGAGTTAAACAGTTGTAAGATGGGTTGATGGATTCCACAGTCCTCCTTTGTAAATTCTCACAAGGGGCATTGCTTTCATCTTCAACATCCTGCGTCTTATTTTATTTAACATCCGCTTCCAGCCCCGGGACGGGCTTTGACCTTTCTCTGCGAGGCTCAAGGCCTGTTATTAGTTATTTCCCATGGAAATACTTACAGGCTTACAGCTTGAGGCACCCCGTCCGTTTGAGTCTATCGCAAGATTTGCTCCCCCTTTGTTATTCTCGTAGCTCTTCTCCGGTGTATCCGCCTCCTCCTTAAATTGTGGGCACTGAGACTGGGCACCGGATTCCCGCGCCCGTCACCCCAGCGCCAGATCCGGAGGTAGAAGAACCTCTCTGTTCCTACCTGATGTTCCTCTGTTTAAGCAGGGGTCTCAGACTCCCGGCCTGGGGGCCAGCCCCAGTTGGAGCCTTTGCACAATCCAGTCTGGGCTCCTGGCAGATCATTACGGCCCCCAAGCCCCACCCCTTCCTGCTGTCACTGCGTCTTCTCCCTCCCCTGGCACTTCATCGCCTCCAGAATGGTTTTCGGGGATCATCGGGTCACCCCCCCACTCCAAGTGAAGGAAACCACGGGTGTGGGAAAAGGGCGTGACCACTGCCACCGTATCAGGCCCCCAATGATCCCCAAAGCTGCGTTCTTGGGGGACGGGCTGCCTCAGGAGGGAGAGGGCGGGGCAATGATGGGACGGGAGGAGCTTGGGGGCCAGTAATGGAATGGGGGCCGGAATCCCAAGCCAGATTGCACAATTGCTATGGCCCGTGGGCCGGGAGTTTGAGACCCCTGGTGTTAGCAACCTATTTCCCCCTCCCTGTTTACAGCTGCTTGCCTGAGGCTCGCTGCAGGTCAGTTTCATCTGTGCCGTGTGCGCCAGGTTCCTCTCCAGTGTTCGTGGCTGTTAGTCAAAGCGCCCGCCACGCTGCCTGCAGTGCTTTGCGACAGGCCAGCCAGCCTCAGGCAGACCGTGTACACGCAGGGCAGAGCCCCCAGGCTGGCACTGGGCTGTCATTAGATTTCACCAACCCTCTCTACCTCTGCTACTCGTTTCCTTTCCTTCCCGGCCTGGCTGAGCTCTGGCACCTGGGGCGTCCTGCGCGGGAGAGGCGAGGCAGGGCCGAGGGCTGCTGCTCTGCAGGCCAGCCAGCCTCAGGCAGACCGTGTACACGCAGGGCAGAGCCCCCAGGCTGGCACTGGGCTGTCATTAGATTTCACCAACCCTCTCTACCTCTGCTACTCGTTTCCTTTCCTTCCCGGCCTGGCTGAGCTCTGGCACCTGGGGCGTCCTGCGCGGGAGAGGCGAGGCAGGGCCGAGGGCTGCTGCTCTGCAGGCCAGCCAGCCTCAGGCAGACCGTGTACACGCAGGGCAGAGCCCCCAGGCTGGCACTGGGCTGTCATTAGATTTCACCAACCCTCTCTACCTCTGCTACTCGTTTCCTTTCCTTCCCGGCCTGGCTGAGCTCTGGCACCTGGGGCGTCCTGCGCGGGAGAGGCGAGGCAGGGCCGAGGGCTGCTGCTCTGCAGCCTCCCCGCGAGCAGGGCCTACAGGCTGGCCCGTCACGTCCGGGTTTTCAGCACAAGTCTGAATTCAGGAGGAGCTGGGAGCCGAATTCCTGGGGCTCCGGGCTGCCAGGGGCTATTTCCTTCTTCAGGGGAGACTCAAATGTCCTTTTTTTCCTGGTTTCATTATATCCCGGGCCTGCCCGCGGCGATGCTTTCAACTGGGATGAAAGCGGCACAGCCGTCCCCACGGACACCGGGTGGCTTTCAGAAGGCAGCTCTGAGGTAACCCCCCCCGGCCTGAAATGGGCAGGAGTGTTAACTCCCTCCCCCACCCCAGAGCCTGGGGGGGGGGCCCTCGCTCCCAATCGTTCCCCTTCCAGTCGGGTCTGCGCTTGGAGGGG